CTCACGCCGGCAGCAAGACAGAACGTGAACTAATCGAAGCCTGGGTCTCGGATGACAACTCAGTGAACAGATAACCGAGCTTGCGCCGCATACATAGCCCCCGCAGGCATATCCGCACGCCCAACACCGGTGATTAATAAGTTCCCTCTCCTACTTATGACGGTTGACTGGCTCCTAACCCTATAACTCTTGCTGGCTTTTCGTGGACGCTTTTATCTCTGACGATGAGCTCCCACAAGAGCCCGAAAGCTCAGGACAACAAACAAATTTGTCCGGTGCTCGATAACCCTTCTTTCTCTTGCATGAAAATACCTGGAACGCGAGCGTTTTCATCCATGTACAATGTATAATTTTCTCACAATGAATGCCTTTTCGAAGGGTGGACTCCCGCACTTAGAACGCGGAAGTAGTTAATGCTATAAATTTCAGCGCTGCAGTATGGACGGTAGAACCATATAGGGCAACTATACCCACTATCAGTGATAATTATCTAATCAGTTCCAATAGATTACTGTTCAAACGGATCTTCCGTGCAAATGCGAACATCCGACACTAGAAAGATGAAAAATGACGGCAGACAAGCAGACAAGATGCGCCCTTGGCGACGTCGCATCGAATGAGATTTCGCTTTGGTCGTAGAGATGTGAAATCTTTTTTTGGGTTTTGAGAAGACAACGAATGCGGTGGATTTTATAACGAAACTAAATGAGCGTCACCATCCTGAGCCCTCAGTCGATGCAGTTTGGCAAACTTTGTAGTGACCTCTGAACTTGTAAATGGCGATTATAAACACGATGTGAAATGTTTAGGCACCGGACGGGCTATTTATTAGAACAGTTCACAACTACAAGTAGATCCCGATTCCTTCTATGTGAAGCCGTGTGAAGCCAACACTCTTGCCACCTGAGATATGAGGTTCCAATCGGGAGCCGTGGGTTTAAACGCATTTGGTCCAAGGTGCCCGCCAAGTTTGTTATAAGGTATGGAGGTTACTAATGGAGTTTACTGATGCAGTGGACCGACTACCCAGGCAGGATATCTAAACTAATTAATCTAGAGCCTACCAGACGACTTCTAGGTTCTACTGGGTCCGCCGCCTTATTTACATTAGAATCCGACGAATTACACAAAATTTAAAATATTTAAGGCATACAATTAGCAAAACTAACCGCAAGAAAGAAATTTTCCAAGCGGCAGAGATCATCAACAATACTGTTTTATCTAGCCTATGCAAAGAAGGCATTATAAGAAACAACAGTTAATTTCTACGTTCATTATAGGCCGCAGTGTCGCGCAAACAAGATAGTGTGCGACGGTCCGTAGTTAAAAAGCCTATGCTGAATTCGGGCAAAAAGGTCTGCCTAAAAAATACAAGGCTAACGAAAACTTTTCGTATTCCTTAAGTGTGATCGTAAACCAATGTGCCTCC